GCCTCCTGAATAGCTAGGCCTATAGGAACCCGCCACAACACCTGGCTATTTTGTCTCTTTCTACTTCTGTATACTCTTTTTCTCTCATTTCACAGCTTCTCTCTTCCCACTCTGGGTGTCACCTTTCTCTGCATATCCCTCTCCTGGACTGGGGCTCTCCCTCTCCCTCAAGGGTTTATTTTTCTCCCCTCCCCTGACCTCTGCTGACTGCATAGGTTTCACCACCTCATCTTCTGCCCAGGGAAGGCTTCTCTCTTACACCTACACCTTCATCAAACCATTCTACCCTGTTCCCACTGAGTGTCAGGATGATGAAGTTTGTGGTATCAGTATTGGCACCTCAGCTAGGACTCTGTTCCAGTGGACCTTTTCCAGGGGCTCCCTACCTCCATCCATCCTACCCTTCCTGTGGTCCCACCTTAGCATTCCTATTCTGTCCCACAGACCACAATGAGGTCAGCAAGTAAAAAGGCTGCCTCCCAGGCCGGGTGCGGTGGCTCACACCTGTAATCCTAGAACTATGGAAGGCCAAGGCAGGTGGATTACCTGAGCTTACGGATTTGAGCCCAGCCTGAGCCAGAGCGAGACCTTATCTCTAAAAATAGCAGGGCACTGTGGCAGGTGCCTGTGGTCCCAACTACTTGGGAGGCTAAGGCAAGAGAATTGCTTGAACCCAAGAGTTTGAGGTTGCTGTGAGATATGATGCCAGAGCACTCTACTGGGGGCAACAAAGTAAGACTGTCTCAAAAAAAAAAAAAAAAAGAGAAGAGAAGATAAGAAAGGCTGCTTCCCAAGGGCTCAATGCCGTTTGCTGGGCCATGCCACCTACTGGCTATGTGCCTACACTCTGCAGCACTACTACTGTGTGCAGGACCTGTGCAATGCAGCTGCCATAGCAAAATTCCCCAGCGCCAGTGTCCTCCTCATCACCCTGCTTCTCCTCACACCAGCTTCTGGAGAGGCCACCTTCTCCACTAGCTTCCTGCAGATATACAGCATGTCCATAAAGGTCGTGTGCAATTTACTATGTTAAACTATTTTACATTGCACATGAACTTTATGGATACCTTGTATGTCCCCTAGCTCGGGACTCCTCCACCATCACCACAGCCCTGGAAACACCTGCACAGACACTTTTGAAACATGCCTAAGAACCTGATTTTGTACATAGCCTTCAGATCCCTAGGTCCAACCTCTTTGCAGGCCCCTCCCAAGACCTGAATATTACGGGCACTTCTCCATCCCCTACAGGACTTGCCCAGAGTCCAGCTTCATAAAAACACCTATTCTGTGTCTTTGTATTTTCTATACATCATTGCTGACATCCTTTCTCAACCCAAGGTCCCTGGCAAGGCAAGCAAGCATTTTGATGGAGCTGTGGATTAAAGGGGCACCAGGTCTGGTAAGGAGGAAAGTCTTGCTAGGAAAGATTAATATGGTAGATCAGGAACTCAGGATGGAGGATTTGGGGAACTATGACGAGCACATTTAATAAGAGGGCTATTTGGGAGTTTGGTAATGCTGCAGTGTTTCAGTTTCTGTGTGTATGTGCCCATGTGATCACTCTAAGAGTGAATTGTAGCTACTTGGTGGGTTGAGCTGGGGCTGGGGCTGGGACCTGAACCATAATATTTTCATTCTCCATCTGTGTCATTTGCGTCCTCCTTCCTGCCAATAGCTTAGTTCAAGCCACTACAGCGTAAAGGGTTTAGGGGAGATTTCCAAGAGAGCTTTTTTCTAGCGTGGCCTAAGCTTGAACAGAGACATAAAAGGGCACCTGGTGGAGCTGCTTGTGAGGGTGTGGTTGAAAGTGCAGGTCATTTCTGCCTGAAACTGGGGGATGGCCAATTGGGAGCACTAATGCCCTCTGCAGTGTCACCAGCCTAGACTTGTCTACATTTGCAGGCACACCCACATGGCCCTGACCCAATAATATGCCCCACCAGGGAATCCCACCTGCAAGCCTGTGTAGAAGTTCCCTCTGCCCGGGGAGATAGGGCTGAGGGAGTACACTCCTGGAACAGCAGGGAGGAGGTGGCAGCCTGGTGATAAACTGCCCACTGCTCCAAATGCCACAGTGGAGTGCCACAGGGAAGTGTGTTTGCTTGGGATAAGGAGGGAGTCTCAAGTTGGGAGCCCAGCACAGACTCCCCCATCCCAACTATTTCCTCCCTTTCCATCTGAGGAAGTCTGGGGACTGATTAAAGGTGCTTGTTCCTGTTCTACTTTTCTTCTTTGTGAGGATGAGATATGGGTATGGAGATCTGTCTTAATTTGGAGGCAAGCTGAGTATTCTTTCCATTCTCCCTGTTCCTCAATTCTCCCATTTTGTGCTATTTTTCCCTGTCCCTCTGTCCATCTCTTTCCTTTTACTCTGATTTGAGTCTCTCCCCTTCTCTTTTCCTCAGTTTCCCCCATTTGTCCTTAGGTTCCCCTATTACTGGTTCCCCACCATTACCCAAGTCTCTAGATTCCCATTCCCCCCACCTACTCCTACCCCTCCTCACCCCCACTTGCTGCCTCAGGCCCCCCTCAGTCCCACAGTGCTGTGTGTTCACAGCTACCCCTCTGCTGGCTGTTACAAGACAAGAGACCACACCATTTTGTACATGACATCACAGAGTAATGCTCCTCCTTTCCTTCAGCCCCTGATCCCATCCCATACACAGCCTTGTGGCCGCTGGACACCAACTGGACAGTGAAGTCACACTTTCAGTGCCCCCACCCAAACAAGGTTTTCCGGAAATCCTTCAGGTGCCAGATGGTGAGAGAGAGAGTCAGCAGCTCCCACTTCCCAGCAGATGTTGCCAAGATCACCTCATCTTGTGGGCAGGTGGGCTGTGGGGTTTGTGAAGCAGAGAGGCAGATAAAGGATACCTCTATTCCCCCCTTCTCAGGAACCAGGGCCCCATCCCCAACCCAACCCCAGTGCTTCCTCTTTCATCGTAGGTCCCCTAGGTGTTCCTCACCTGAGACAGGACAAATGAATGTTCTCATAGACCTGAATTTCCGGTTTGAACTGAGGAATCACGACATCTGGGCAGAAGGAGCCATATGATGTACAGAAAAGAAGTCACCAGACAGCTCTGAGATATGTTCCTTACCACCCCCTCCCCTAGAGAAGACAGGGTACAGAGGCAAGATGTGATCCCAGCTCTTTGCCTCACACCTACACGCCCTCTTCCTTTTGGGAGGGAGGTACTCACCTCTGCCCAAAGGCCTCTGGACCCTCCGCCTCCAGAGCACGATGCTGAGGGCCAGGACAATGATCCCTTGGCCCACTATGAGCAAAAGCATCAGGATCCAGGGCACATCCCAGCCAGTGGAAGGGGCACAGAGGGCTGGAGAGGCATCCGTGGGGGCTGCAGTAAGGGCAAGACCAGAGGGATAGGGAAGGAGTTAGTGAGGGGGCCAGTCTCCATCCCCAGAGAGTGGCTTCCTTCCATAACCTGGGAGGACAGGAGAGTTCATGAGCTTCCCTGCTCCCGATACCCACCACCTCACTTTGCCCCTTTCCACACCTCTTACCCTGACCCCATGAGCCAACATTTATAGGGAGTGGCAATGCCCCCTGTGCACACACACAGGCAGCTAACTACAAAGCAGACAACAAGCCATATAGCTGCACTTTCCCCCTCATGCACTTGGTCATAATTCACCCTTTCAAGAAAAAGTAAAATGTCTTCTGTTTATTCCTTTTGCCACTCATTCACTCTATAAGCACCATAGAAGGTGATGGGGATGTAGAGGGCAATAAAGCCCAGACACGGCCTTTGTCATTTACTCCTCCTCTACTGCTTTGTTTTTTGTTTTGTTTTGTTTTTCTGAGACAGCCTCAAGCTGTCGCCCTCCATAGAGTGCTATGGCCTCATAGCTCACAGCAACCTCCAACTCTTGAGCTCAAGTGATCCTCTTGCCTCAATTTTTCTATTTTTGGTAGAGATGGGGTCTCATTGTTGCTCAGGCTGGTCTCAAATTTGTGAGTTCAAGCAATCCACTTGCCTCGGCCTCCCAGAGTGCTAGGATTACAGACTCGAGCTACAGCACCCTGCCTCCCCCCTGCTTTGTAAATAGGTTATTCTACACTCCTTAGCCTTCTTTCTCTGTACAGTGGTATTTTTATTGTAAAACAATAATTTTTCTCCTTCTATTTATCAGTGGGCCTCTGATAACACCAGTGCATATATCATTTCTTCAAATACAACTCCCACAGCAACAATTTTTATTTTCTTCCTCTCTGCTATGGGATATTCCACAAAAATCATAGATTGTGTATTTCTAAACAATGGTATGTTCAGCTAGAATATACCTCTTGGGTGCTGGTCAAGTACACCAGAATGCTGGCTTAAACCAATCTCCTTCTCTGTTATGGATTTGGCCAATGAGAAAAAAAGCAACAACTCTTCCCGTCTCCTCCCTCAGCTTACCAGCCAGGCTAAAGCTGACCCCTTTGTTATGAGGCATGAGGCAGTGGATTATTCTTGGTCTGCGGCCCCTGGGTTCAGGAAATCCATCCCCAGGACACAACAAGAGCAGGGCAGCCCCATCACCCCAGAAGGACTGAACACGGCCCCTCACAGGACCCTTTCCCTCCTGCCAGATCACAGAGTCCAGTCGTCTATTAGGGACCACAGAGCACAGGAGGACAGAGCAGGGCGATCCATCTGCAGCCCTTGCGGATAACCGGGATCCTATGGGGAGAGAGGGATCCCTCAGTTGTTTGCATGGACTCCTTGGTCGCCAGTGACCACCTTGTCTGTGTGCCCCTGCTCACCTTTAAGCACAGAGACATCGTATAGCCTCCAGTTCTGGTACTTGTGGTGCTGACCCAGCACAGCACACCAGTACCTCCCAGCATCACCCTCATTGGACTCCTCCAGCCACAGAGAATAGTTCCCCAGCAGCTTGAGCCTGGATTCTCTTCCAGGTTTCCGAGGGTCTGGGATTGGCTTAGCCACTTGGGCTTGGACCACCAAAGTGGTGAAGGAGCCTGTTGCAGGGCTATGAAACCAAGACAGGAGTTCATCCCCGTGTAGAGTGGGTGGTAAGGGACACGGCAGCTCCATCGCCTCTCCCAAGGCCACAAAAATGGCATGGATGTTGTCTGTAAGAAGAGGGTTGTATGAGGGCAGAGACTTCCACCATATCAACAACCCTTACTCAACATTCAACCTCTGATTTCCTCCACTTCCAGGGTCCCCCAGCACTAGCCTGGCTATTGACCATATTTCTCAAGTCCCAGCTAAGAGAGAGAGAGAGGAGAGGAAAGGGGTTTCTTCCTTCTCCCCCGGCCAGTAAGGAGATCTGAGTGCAAGAGGGAAAAGGCTGGAATAGTTCACAACGGCCATATCTCTTCCATTCATTTCTCCTCTTCTGGAAGCATTCAGTCATCTGCTCTTATTTCCTAAAGAAAACTGTACATGACCTGGACCTTGGTTGCCTCTGGGTCTTCCCTAGTATCCAAGGCAGGGGGAGGTCAGATACAGTCAATCTATCTCCTTGAATCAGATACCTTCCCTAGGAGAAAGAACAGCAGTCCCTCCTCAACCTTGTAAATACTATATAGCTGAAGAATCCCCCATCTACTGCCCCTTACCTGAAGCAGCCCGGGGAGTTCCCCATAGGCTCAGGAGGAGGAGGAATAAGACTGCCATGGGGACTGCCTGCTGAGTTCTCTTGTTCCAAGATCTGGTGTTGTCCAGGGAGGAAACAGACCCCAGATAAGGGCCCACACTCCCTGGTCTAGAGTGACATAGAACTTTGGAGGGGATGGGAATGCTGGAGAGATAAAGCCCAGCCACATGTCTCCTGGGGGAAAAGAGACCATCACCTTTCTGTCTGGAGGAAAAGGACCCAGTACAGGAAACGCTGAAGATGACCTCCTCACCCCTCTGACTCTACATTAGGTGAGGGACTCAGATCAAAGGTTTTTCATGCAAAGCTGGGTGCGGTGGCTCATGCCTATAATCCCAGCACTCTGGAAGGTCAAGGTAGGTAGACTGTTTGAACTTAGGAGTTTGAGACCAGCTTGAGCAAGAGTGAGACTCTGTTTCTACTAAAAAATACAAAAAATTAGCCAGGCATTGCGGCAGGTGACTGTTAGTCTCACCTACTCAGGAGGCTGAGGCAGGAGGATCGCTTGACCTAGGAGTTTGAGGTTGCTATGAGCTAGGCTGATGCCACAGAACTCTAGCCTTGGCAACAGAGACTCTGTCTCAAAATATATATATGTAGGCTCGGCACCTATGGCTCAAGTGGCTAAGGTACCAACCACGTACACCTAAGGTGGCGGGTTCGAATCCAGCCCGGGCCCGCCAAACAACAATGATGGCTGCAACC